GAATACTGAAATGGATCGGCCAACGGGTGGCCGATTCCGGCAATTTCCGGCGACGACGGCGCGGTGGCTGTGGGGAGATGGCCGAGAGAGAGAGAGAGAGAGGCTAGGGTTAGGGGTTCGTGTTGTGTGTTTGTGCAAGATCTATAAATCAAGTATTTATAGTGTCTTGTATAAAACCCTAACAGACTTAAGTTGAACCGGGCCCAACAGCTTAAGTTCGTTAGTTCTCTTACTTGCTCGTCTCTCTCAATTCAATGATCGGAAAATTGTAACAATTACATTTTCGGAATCATTATAATGTCCTCGTCATTACGAGTGCCAACTCTCAATTTCCAACTTTCCAAAAGTGGAAACCCTAATTCAGTGAACTTTCTAAATTTGGAAACTTCCCGATTTAGAAAGTTCACTAATACGTTTGCCTATTCTTTTCCTTTTCTTATTCTCATTCATAATTCCAAATTACGAATGTTGGACCCAATCATATTGACTTCCAATCATGCAAAGATAAACCTATTTTACCTTTGACCGTTTATTCAAAAATCTCATGTGCACGAGCAGTGTGACCCTCGATGGTTCAGGTGTAAGCTAGCCGTGGGCCCACAACCCTTTGTGGTCAAAACTCGTCCCTTAGAGTTACGATTAAGATGAAGCTCGTTTCACCTTAATCACCCAACGAATCAAGATTGGCGTGTAGCAACTACGCGTCATGATTCCCTAGATACAAATGAAGTGCCTGCAAGAACCTTCAGATATAGTTAACGTACAGTACGATCCCTTCGATTCATATGTCCCGATTGAACTAGAGGCATTGGTTCATCGAGACCTCTTTATATGTTCAATGACCGTGCGATCGTTCTAAGTGTTGTAATCGTTACGTTCATGACTTGGAGAATTGAATTCTCTAATCATCACTTAGTCAGCTATGGCCAGAGACTTAGAATGATTACAAACTATCAAAACACACAGGGCATCCTAGACTATTTTAGCGATCGAATCCCCGACTACAATGCACAGACCTCCTACTAGATTTCGGATTGCACGAACACTGGCCCTTGGGATGGTCCTCGGTGGAACTTAGGGACAGGTCATGATACAGCTGGTCCTCTAGTGAAGTCACCGTGATGTCTAGGTCATAAGGACTAATGGTGTACAACTATACCATAGATATCTCTACTCGATTATTGGGAACCACTTAGAGATTTCTAGGGTGAGGGAGTTCAGTGAACTCGTCAACTTACGAGCACCCACTTATGCATGCCGATATCACAATACTGTTTACTGTTGAGATGCACATACAGTAAGTGCTAGTCTCTTAATGGGAAAGGCCGATATCCTCATTGGTGGCGTAACCCTTCGACTAGGAACACATTTAACAGTTATAATACTTAAGTAAATATCTCACGATCCTAACGATCAATTATTAGTACTTGTAATAACTGTAAGGACTATATCTATGCTTGTGACAAAGGAACAAAGATATAGAATGCCAAGGTCTTTTATCATTAATACGAATAAAGGTTCGTTTATTACAATAATAAATACGAAAGACCACAGCCAGATGTTGGATTGTTGGTCACTTACTCTAACACTTTTGAAATATAATTTTCTCTCTACTCTCATGCCTTTACAAATCCAACAAAACCCCCTTTATATAATATAACATTTGACCACTATAAAACCTGTATTTAACATATAATTAAAGAAAAATATGGAGGTTTTGTGAGGCAAACTAATAATTTTGTAGGTTTCAAAATAGTGATCTAAATGACCTCATAAATGTGGTCAAAGACAATATTTATATTTTATAATAAAATATATATATTTTTATCAAAATACTCCAACAATCCCCCACTTATTTTAATAAAAATAAGAAGAAGAATAATGCTTGAGCTCTTGGGGAATATTTATACCTAATGATAGTGAGCAATGCCTTGAAACCTTCACTTAGTACAATAGGTTTCCCGTACTAGAATCAAAGTGGACTTAGCCTTGAAACAGTGACCCTTGGGACATGTAGAATCATATTGCACAGATAATACTCAAAAGTGTCCCAATCGAAGCTTCTAAAGCCAGCACATTAACGGCCTTGTGCTTTACCCCATTTCTCGTGAGTGCTCTAGAGAACAGCCTATAATTCTCATAGGAAACGGCCCCACTTCCACACTCACAAGGTGAATTCTATCGGGGATGTTTACGTAACGCCAACACCCCACTCATACGAGTTATAACTCATTAATAGATCAAAGTCTCAACCTCACAATTCGTTACGAGCTTTAGCAGTGCATACGCACTATAGGGAAGGATAATAAAGGTGTGCACTTTTATCTCAATCAAGTTGTTTTCGGATCGTTGGTCTCCGACCTAGTTCTTGGGATCTCAAGCATCAACAACTTATCAAATATTTTTAGGCTTTAATCTAATCCCCCTCAATGCATTTCAGATGATTTCTGAAATAATGTGAAATATAATTTCACAAATTCAATAGCGCTTATTCGACATTTAGTCTCATGGACTCAATGATTTATTAACCATTTCACATATAATTTCACTTCAATTTTCACGTGAATTTTAACATAGACTCGCAGTACTACATTTCTTTTAATGATTCCGGATCCCATTAAAAGAATCTCGCAATTTGCCAACTGCTGTTTTTTAATGCCATCTATCAATGCACAAATCATTGATTTTTCGCAATCTCATTATTCAAAGCACAAAGCAATTGATTTATCACACACTAGGATTTTATATATCACATTCGGTATCAACCGGCCTCTTCATAGGCTAATGTCAAAAAAATCAATCAAAAATGATATGAATTTTGACTTTTAGATTCTCGACATATAGCTATCCACACAAGGAGAAAATGTAATCAAATAGGTATATAATTCCTCTTATTTAGATTTTAATAATCAACAATATTGAAAACTCTCAAAAAACGTTTTATTTCATACATCACAAATTACATATTTATTTTCACAAATTAATATATACTCTTAAACCATTCTATAATAACATCAATGTCATCTATATGGAAACTTATGCCTCATAATAGTTAGTTGTTTAGTCAAAAAATGCATACAATATTACTCAATTATTACTCAATTATTACATCTCAAAAAAAAAAAAACAATATTACTCAATTATTAACATAATAAACAATTAACACGGATCACATTAAAATCAATTATTACATGCTTTTATATATATATATATATATATATATATATATATATATATATATATATATATATATATATATATATATATTAAAACCCCACTATTTCTCAATATTAAAAGCATATAAATAACGCTACCCATGCAATATTACCTCTACCGAATAAATCATGAATTAAAAATTAAAATATATCAATTGCTTACAAACACCCCCATTAAACATTGCCCATTAATCGACAGTTTTCATGAAATATATAACTACTCATTCTTAAACATATTCTCAAAGATAGAGACAAAAAAAATCAACACACCTTTCATAAATATATATGGGCTTACTTTATATAATTCACTATCTCCACTTAATAAAATTATAATAATCCACTTAATTCATTTTGACCGGTCCACAAACAGTAATAAATCAAAATGCATGTTAATAAATGCAATTACGTAACTTTACAAATAAGCGCATCAATGGGTAGTTATTCATAAAAAGGTTCAGACAATAAACTCTTCTACAAAAAAGTCCATATATGGTCCAGAGTTTTGTAAACGACTAAAATAGCCCATTTATACTTTAGTATGCTTCAATTTCATCGTTTCGTTTAATCTAACCTCAATTTGACCCCAAATTTCACAAATTATTCAACTTTGACCAAAAATACATTTTTATGGACTGTTTCGTCCGTCACACTCATTGACCGCCTGTCTCCGCATTTGACTTTTTTTTTCTGATTTTTCCGCCGGTTTCCGGCATTAATTTTTTTTTCCTTCCTGATTTTTCCGCCACCGGTTTCCGGCGTTGACTTTTTTGATATTTTTTTTTCTTTTCTTTAACATCTTCTTTGCCCCGTTTAAATAAAAATATTTATGTGATTGTATGTAATATTAACTATATTACTGTTAAACATAGTAAAATTAACTATACTACAGTTTAACACAATCATATTGCTACATTAATCTCTAGCACAATAATATTAACACAACAAACTCATTATTATTGTGTAATAGAGTAATATTAATATGTTGACCGTTCAAAAAAGGTAAACATAATAAAAAGCCAAAAGAATTAATATTTGTGAGTGACAGTAATATTACTATAACAACAATAAATTACCGTCAACCACAGTGATATTATTGTGTTTACAGTAATATTACAATAATAGACAATAATATTATTACGTAACTCCGTGAATAACTCAACCAAAACAAAAAAAAACCCAAAAAATAATAATATTGATGTGGTTGACAGTAATATTATTGTGTTTACAGTAATATTACAATAATAGACAGTAATATTATCACGTTACTCCGTGAATAACACAAACAAATAAAAAAAACCCAAACAAAATAATAATATCGATGCGGTTGACAGTAATATTACTATAACAATAGTAATATTACCGTCAACCGCAGTAATATTATTGTGTTTACAGTAATATTACAATAATACACAGTAATATTAATACGTTACTCCATGAATAACTCAAACAAAGAAATAAAACCCAAAATAATAATAATATTGATTTGGTTAACAACAATATTATTGTGTTTACAGTTATTTTAGTGTCAACGACACTAATATAATTATGTTGACTTGTCAACAAATCGACTATTGGACGGGTCCGTGGTCAACGGGGCGGGGTGGGTCCATGTCTATCTAGAACTATAACCAACTTTTTTTGAGATGGACAAATATTTTTTTGTAAAGATGAAAAGTTTATCGAATTTCTTAAATACACTAGTTTTAATGAATTGGTCAACATGAGCTCAATTACATGGGGGTTTTGTGCATAAGTCCATAACCAATTATTTTTATTATTCTAGGTTTAGGAGCTATATCTCTTCAACCAATAAGCCCATCCCTTTAATATTTATCATAATGAAAGGAAAAATTCATGTATATGACAAAATTACCCCCAAACCTTTACACCCAATTCTTAATTGTAACCCCAATTTAATCAATTTTGACAACAAAATCCAATTTTGATTTTTTTTTCAAAAACTTTTTTTTTTCAAAAACTATTTTTTTGCCGCCGGTTTCTGACGTTGATTTTTCGACTTTTTTTATTATTCTCTGGTCTGTTTTTACCGCCGCCGTATTGCGACGTTGATTTTTTTTTATTATATTTTTTTCTGGCGCGTGCACAGCACGCGCGAGGTCAGGAGGGAGGGCCGAAGCCTCTTCGATGCGTACGTGTTTCTCAGCGCGACTTAGTAACTCTTCCAGAGTGGTTGGAGGTCTTCCAGCAATAGATTCCTTGAATCTACCTTCCTTCAAGTTTTGTTGAATGATTCCAGCGAGCATGCTTCCTCCCATGTTAGGAACTTTGTGAGATGCCTCTACAAATCGTTGAATGTAGTTACGGAGGGTCTCGCCCTCTCTCTGGATGATAGTTAAGAGGTACGCGGGAGTCTTAGCGTACTCTTTGTTGATAGCGAAATGGTGGGTGAAGCGATCTGTTAGTTGGGAGAGAGCTTCAATTGACCCAGTGGGCAAGGAGTTGAACCAGCTCAATGCTCGTTCGGAGAGCGTTGTGCGAAACATCTTGCACATCGCTGCATCAGTTGGGCCATATAGATCTGTCATGGCGTAGAACTTTTCAAGATGCTCCTGTGGGTCACTAGTTCCATCGAACTGCGTTAGACTTCAGACCTTTACCCGTTGTGGTAGTATCTCATTGATTATTGCGACAGTGACGGGATTGCGCCTTATTGGAGGTATTTCCCTTCCACCAATGGGATTACCTATGTGGGGAAGGTGATTTGAGCGAGATACATGACTGCTAATTTCATCCTCTCCACTATTGTGTGGAGGAGCTCGTTGGTGAGAGGCGTTGCCTCTTGAAGGTGAACGTGGGTCTCGTCGCCCAGTTCGTGCATCTTGGCGATGAGTAGATTGTTGCATTCGGGACCGTGGGTCCGAGGTAGAGGAGGAGACACTTATTTGGTTCTGGACTGGTGGTGGTGCCATAGGTGGCTCCACAGGTGGAGCAGGTGCTGGTATCGCGTTGGGAGATTTTTCTCCCATCGTGGCGATGTATTGGGTCACGGCCTCTGTGGCGGCGCGAGTTGAGGCTTCTGCTATCATGCGCTGGAGCGCATCCTCGGTTATTTGAACCGTTCGGAGAGCATGGAGTGGTGGATCGGCGAGTGGTGGGTTCCGAGGGGGATCACCTGAACCTCGCGAGGCGGATCCGGAACACGTGGAGGAGGTGGCAAGCCAGAGCCTCCGCGGGTTGGGAGGTTATTAGCAGTGTCATTTTCTCTCCGAGCGGATGCCTCAGGAGGATCTTGCTGGCTAAGTGATTTGGTTTGCATTGTTCCCACAGACGGCGCCAAAATGATGATGCTAATTACTTAGATCACCTGGGGTAGTGTAGAAAACGAGCTGCGAGAGCAAAGCGGATCATCATGATCCTTTTTGGGAATGCAGAGGTCCCTGCGAAATAAACACACGTGAACTAAGCCGGGGGTTGATCCGGCGGAAACCCCTCCGACGCTCAAGTCAGATGTACGGATCTTGGAGATTGTAGAGAGAATAAAATTAAAGCTTGTTCGTGAATAATAGAACGTACCTTAAGGAGTGAGTTCAAAACTTTATTTATAACTTAGTCGAGATTGTTGGGCTCAAACCTTATTTGAAGGCGATTGGGCCTCGATGATAGCGGTCTTCAATATTGCATTCGTGGCCCAATATATTAATAAATTATAAGCCCATTGAGTTGGCTTAATTAGGCATATCAGCCATTTTGTCCAGAAAACCATTACCGAGGCAAAAACAAGAAACCCACGTTGATTTGTTTTTTTGAGGAATGTCGGGAAACCCATTTTAACATAACAAAATCTGTCCGATTCAAATCATCATTAAATTCAGAATGGTTCCACGCAACTACTTCAATCACCACAGGTTGACTCACTCTCAACTCACCTCTAAAAACCTGTGCTTGAGTATGGGTTAGAAGAATTTCGGGGGCGGGGAAGAAGATGGGTTTGGTGATATTCTTTTTTTTTTTTTTTCATTTTTCATTTTTTATTTATTTTACATTTAGTATTTGTTTGTTTAAAGTTCAATTTTATTTAAATTTTATTAGGGGTAGTTTTGTTATTTAATGTATATCATCAACTAATTTTGATAAAAATGGGCAGTGTGCTTTATCAAACACAATATATGACGGTATTTGCTAATAGTTTTAACAATAGGAACTTTTATAACAATTAGAGATTACACATGAAGTTTGTTCTAATAACTCTTATATTTAGTTATGTCTACAAAATATAAAAATGATACTTAACCCGAGAAAACATAAACATGATATGTGTCATTATTTAATTTAATTAGAATTGGTCAAATTATATGTTAGTGGGTAGATTGTTATTAGTTGGCATGAATTAAATTAGTGGGATAGTGTAGTTAAGGGGTTAATGGGATGATAGTTTAATTATTATTTATGAGTATTATAAATAGGATAATTAGAATGTTATGTGATATGAGTTTAAGAATCAATCAATCTCCCTTTGTATTTTCTTAATTTTCCTCTATAATTCTTCTTCTAATTCTCCTCCTAATTCATATCTCTTGATTTCTTCTTAATTCTCAAACTTTGTTTTCTTGCTCAAATTACCACGTAACAATGGTATTAGAGCCGAGCCGTTACGTTCCATGGAGGCACGTAACCAATTAGATGTTGAATTTCATGCTAAGGTTATTGAAACCCTAGCTCGACATGAATCAAAGTTCGACAAAATACACAATACCCTCCAAGTTGTTCTTGTTGTTCCCGGTATATAAACGGGTAGTGAATTTAGTACAATGGTCGAACAAATTAATTAGTGAAAATACGAAAAGATTAGCCGATGCGAGAAAACTCTTTCCTTAAGACAATATTGCCCCGCTACGGTGCTTACGGTTATTTGACAATGGTCTCCCAAGATACAACGGCTAACTCGGCATATGAGCACTCAAAATCCCGAGTACATCGAACGTTACTTTGTGCCTCAAACTCTCGAATCGAATACAGAAGAAAATATTCTACGAAGAATATTTCCGGGCTAAAGAAAAAAGAATTCCATAGAACAAAATTATGCAATTGAATTGAATTTTTTGTTGTTGTAATCAAACATGTGGAGCTTTTTATTTATAGGTTTCCAATGGTTGTGACTAATGAGCACAACACTTAGGAAATTAAACAAATGAAAAGGTGTGGTCACACGCCCTCTTCATATTGTCACACCTATTAGTTCAAATAGGTGCCTAAAAACCTTTTTTAATTTCCATTCAAAAAATAATTTTATATTAATAAATAAAATTTCCAACAATCCTCCACATGAATGAAATTAACGAAAAACGATGGATTCTATCGAGAGTTCAAGTGGAAATTATTGCAATGGGGATAAGTAGCTTTTGGCTTTGAACCTTCCTTAGCGGTATACCGTCGGATTTACTTGGATAGTTAGTGAACGCGATGCATGCCGTGAACTGCCAGCTGTTTGTGTAAACCAAGACAATGATATCCACACAATAGTTTTCCCACATTTCATCAGTTCTCATAGTTGCGTCCATTTTGGCCCTGGAGCACATCTTGGATTCATAAGTGTTTGTCATTTTGAAGCGGCCCACACTTCTACATTTAGATAGGTGATGTCCTATTAAATGTATCCTACCAATACCTCACTTTTTGTCAAGGTTTTGGAATCATTAAAAGCTTTCGATTATCCTTTATCCTCTCTGCAGGCAGCACCAATTTCTATCACGGGAATTAGTTGGAAATATATAATTCCATAGGAATTTATACTCCTTGGTACATCACTGAATTTCAGTAGCTTAGTTGTCTCTTTTGAACCAGTTCTTGGGATCTCCAGTCATCATGGTTGGGTTACCACCATAGAAATTCTTAATTTGTGGGTTTTAATCTCACTCCCCTAGACATGCAATTTGATCTCTTTATTTGACTTTTAGTCGCTGATCCGCTATTAACCATTGATTTCCATAATCAATGTTAATTATTTATTTTGAGATCAATTTCCTAATGGTCTTATGTGTATGACGAATGTGTCGATACTTGCCATTATACATGTCATTTCTGCCGTTATCGTAATTGATTGGCTATCGCAATTTTTTCATAATTGCAGGCACCAACTTAGTCCAACACAAAACATCCTCCAATAATATTATGAAGTTTATTCAACTTCTTTTCTAACTTTATCTAAAGCTATATATTTGAACTCCGCCATGGATCGAGATATTCATTTTTCTTTGAGGATTTCCAAGATACATAATCTTAGTGGACTCGTATATCCAATGTAATTTCCTAATACAATTGAATATTTTCTTTAGTGTAATCCATTTAAAGGCGATACTTAGATTACCTAAGAACCCTTATAATATCATTGAATGATTATTTATTTTAGGACTACATATAAGAAAATATACTGCCAAACTATCCAAAATTATTTGTAATTTTACCATTGTTCATCATTATCTTTGGCAAAGTAAAGACTTGGTTTTTAGACAACTAGATCAATTTTCTAGTAGTGTCTCAACATGAGCCTTTCAATAAGACTATCTTTGTCTAATTAGTGAATTAAATCTATAAGATTACATCGTCAAGACCCCGTCTTTCACATCAAAAATTTAATTTTTATTTTTTCCAATATTTTCTCAACGTTCAAAATAGTATCATGATCACTATCTCATGATTATAATGTCGTCTATAGACATATACTTCCATGTGCTTTTAATATAAATACACTGGTTACACTTGTTATTACGAGAATTATTTGATAACACAATTTTGTCAAATATTACTTTAGAAGGACTTAACGGATTCCAATATCTTGTTATAAATAATCAAAAAATTCCATAGCTACTAATTTAGCTTTATAGTACCACCCATAATCATTCCTTTGAATAGTCCATCTAAACCTTAATGGTTTACTACTTGGAAGAAGACAAACTAACTTCCACGTACATTCTTCCAATGTAGACAATATTTCAATAATCGTCATTTGTTCATTTTATAACTCATAAGTTATAAAATCAAACAAAAATCAAACATATTGATTTTATTTGCCATCTTGTTGTATCTTGGTTGTTCATCACTTTGATGATTTACCACTCTCACATATTTTAACTTGGTTGTTCATCACTTTGATGATTTATCACTTACACATTAATAAGTTCTCTTACTTAGAACTTATTTATTTTCTTATCTAACAAGAAACCACAATATAATCAATTTGCATCTAGAGTGACTATCTCGTGCACAATCATTATAAATATATTCAATATTTATCCACTTGACTATACTAGGACTTATATTAACTTATGTACTTTTTTACCTTGGCCTAACACCCCCACATTTCTAAATGTTAATGTGGTTAGTGGTTAGGGCCTAAAGACCCTCACATTTCTAAATTTTTATGTGGTTAGCTCGGAATATTTAATTTATGTGGTTAGGGCCTAAAGACCCCCACATATTTTAATATTATCGTGGTTAGCTCGGGATAACTAATTCCCCCCACAAATTCTAGAGTATGTATTCTAGAATTTATCAATATGATATCCATAATTTTTTTCCAAGAGTTTCA